GGTGACTTACCGTTATGTGAATACGGGTATTGTACAACACGGGTTCCATCCACAATCTTCCTCTGCCATGTAAGGCTAAAGCGGTGCACAAACACATGATCACCATCGTTGAGTTCTAATGGATATTTTGCCACAATCTGGGGTGCCGCCATCTGAAGAGAGAACAAGTATAGCACACATGGAGATGAACAGTGACCAAGCGAGTCAATGCCACGCACGGACCGTGTGGTGCAGCCCCAGACCTGTCAGCACTGGGACGTGCACTGGTGCAGGGCCAGGGCGCCAACTTTACTCACGCGATCCAATTATTATGTCATTGAGAAGCACTGGACATCATTGCTTTTGTAACTTGCTCATCCCTTCCCCTTTTGCGTACGTGATTTTCTTTTCTTCCGTGGTTGGTCTAACCCTCTCCTCAATACAATTGGCTGTCTTGACATGCTACGAGGAGTAGAGATAATTAAATAATTAAATAAATAAATGATGGTACAGGTACAGCATACATTGATCGTTTGCCAATCTGTACGAGATGAGATCTGGCTTCTTCCTGGACTAAGCCACGCAAGCAAAAGTAACTTAGTTAGAGAAGGAAAAGATGAAATTTCCCCCCTCCGGGTATGTACTAGCACTCGCTGGTCTTGCCTTCGTAACTGAATGAAGCTGAGACGGTCTGTTGCGGGTTGAGCCCTACTGGCACAGCCACCTTGTGTGATTACTGCCATTGGCTGTACCTGGTCCTTCTCGCTTCTTTTCTCTCATAATTAATAGGTAGGATTGTCTTTGAAGTAAAAAAATCACACTGAAAAACCCATGCCATCAGATGATTCCATTCGTACAGATTAGCATTCCTGCACTGATAGCGGTGTCATTAGGCCAAAACAAAAACAAAATAGGCTTGTTTCGGATCAGCAACTCCTCAAAAAGGAGACTCGGTCGGCCAGAAGGAAACTTTTCTTGGATACTTTTTTTGGTTCCTCAATCGTTGTGGTGTTGATGGACAAGAACACCTACACATGTACATAGTCATTGTACATTATCATGGCAAGGGTCAATGGCAAAGTTGACTGACTCACTGTTCTTGTACAGCCTGCGGCATTTGGTGTATTCCTGTTTTCGTACATCCTGAGAAACCAAGCAAACGGTTCGAGTGCTTCCAGCTCCGTTATTCTAGCTCGTATCGACCCCCGGGGTTTTCGAGCCGACAGCTGAGATTCTCTGCTACCTTGTGGGTATTTCGATTGTGGAATTCGGTTGAGATTTGACTGAGTTATGACTCGTTGAGTGCACTTGCACATACATGTGTGGCATTGGCACCGTTCGTATACATTTGGGACCAAAAATGTTCAGAATTTGAGAAAAGGTGGCCCGATCGGCTGACTTTAAACAAGGTCTGTTAATATGAATTTTGTTTTGGCCTTACAGTCGACCAACCCTTATAACGATATTCGCATCCGACCAAGAAATATTGTTATAAGTGTAATATTGTTATAAGGGTAACTGGTTCATTCATACACATACATGTACATGTACGTCACAATGCATGAATTTAGTTAGTTTTTTACACTCTTCATGGCGTCAACAACTCTTAATTAAGGTATGTACAATGCACATTATGTACACAGCAAGGTGCCCACTGGTGCCCCCATTGCATTTCGTCATGTCCCAGCGACTTATCAAGTGAAGCTTGCCCTACCTTGACAGTGGATTTTACATATTCCCTGCTGGATATTGTTATAAAATGGAAAATGTCGATTGGTCAGCCCATGTTATATTGTTATAGGGGTAATATCGTTATAGCAACATTGTTATAGAGGTAAGGCATTGTATACAAAAGTCAATGGAGTGATTTGGTTTGACAGAAAAATATCCTTATAAGGGGTTATCGTTATAAGGCCCAAACAAATAATGACCTTGTTTCCGGTCGCCCGACCGGGCCACTTTTTCCCAAATTCTGAAACTTTTTTTGGTCCCAAATGTATACAAACGGCGGCAATGCCATGTGTGCAAGTGCACTCAACGAGTCATAACTCAGTCAAATCTCAACCGAATTCCACAATCGAAACACCCACAAGGTAGCAGAGATTCTCAGTTGTCGGCTCGAAAACCTCCGGGGTCGATACGAGCTAGAATAACGGAGCTGGAAGGACTCGAACTGTTTGCTTGATTTCTCAGGATGTACGAAAACAGGAATACACCACATGCTGTACAAGAACAGTGAGTCAGTCAACTTTGACATTGATCCTTGCCATGATATATGTACAATGTACATGTGTGGGTGCTCTTGTCCATCAATACCAGGAACCAAAAAAAGTATCCAAAAAAGTTTCATTCCGGCCGACCGAGTCTCCTTTTTGAGGGGTTGCCGACCGGAAACAAGCCTATTTTTTGTTTTGGACTAAGGGTAGGTCGACTGTATTGATAAAACCACACTATACTCGTAAACCGATATTGCGATAAGCAATAATAATCGTCACTTGTCTCGGCCGGCACAGCACGTTCGGTTAGCTTTTTCCGAGTCTGGTTGGCCAGATTGGTGGAATATCTGTCACGACTCCTAGATTCTATGCACTGCAGGCTACGGCGTGAAAATTCCGGATTGCAGAAGCACACACACGCACGCACGCACGCATGCACACACACCACACACATGCACCTATGTCACATATTTAGACGCGCGCGTTTATCAGTTCTCTTTTTTCCATCATGCAGTGCCTGCCACACACGCCCGTACCGCAACACTGCAACACTGCAAGTAGACTCGATACGGAACTCCAGGCGGTCTACTTCAGTACTTTAGAGATAGAGTGCAGTGGAATACTGCGGATTCTCGGACACTCTTGATTAGTGCACCAACATTGTAGGTCCAGAGTCCTTACCTCCTTGATTCACTCCTGACGCTAGCGATTCTGGTCGCGATTCTTACAACGAGTGACCGTTGACACACTGCCTACTGTCTGATGAGTAATACATAAGACTAAAAGTAACACTAGCGGCTGTTCCAGACTCCTCTTTGCCACTTCTTCAGGATTTGATTAGTTCTACTTTGAAGTACACAGTCACAGAATCTACAAGTAGTTCAACTACGCGGTTACTTCTTTACTTCTTCTAAACTACCCGTGCTACATGTAGCTCACGACAGCCTACAAAGTACAAGTACAAGGCTACATCGTGCATCCGATCCAGGCCGCGCGCATACTATTACTAGTAGTAGTAAGTACTAAGTAGTACAGTAGTAAGTAGTACAGTGTTGGCAACTGAAATCCGACCTCCTGGGCGGCGCGGCGCCCCGCCCAGGAGGTCGGATTTCAGTTGCCAGCACTGGAGTAGTACAGTAGTACTGACTGTTGTGGACATGGAAATCCGGTCGCACGTCTAGCGGCCCCAGGCCCAGGCCAGGGTGCTGGCCATGCAGCCGTGGAATAAGCGGTACACACATGCGCATACAGCTGAGCGGTGTCAAGTAGGTGTTGGCGGATAATGCTCGGTAATATGGGATATAATGCTCTCAGTAATGCTCCACAAAAGGCCATATAATGCTCCAAATAATGCTGATAATGCTCCGCGGGATGGAATATAAACACCTTAACCTTGCGGTATTGGGCTAAGAAAAACGCTATATTATTGCACCCATGCTATGATAAACACATAATACAATATCAGGTAAACATGTACGCTACAGTCCATTTCAAAACTATAGACGCGTACCTAGGCAAAAACCGTTATGCCAGCATCTATACCACATAAAATCTGTGATCACTTTGTGCATAAATTTTTCCAAATTGGGCGTCTGTTATCCAATCCTTTAGAAACTATAATGAGAGTAATTGTGGAGCGATCCTGAGCAATATTCCGAAAACTATTCTCAAAAAGTTCCAGCCAAATTTGAAATATTTCAGAAACCCTACGCGTCTATAGTTTTGAAATGCACTGTAGGTACAAACACATACAGTTATAATATTATTGAGGTGGCACAAAGAGGATACGCCAAGAAGGACTCCTTGACCAGCTTCTGCCTCTGAGTTTCCCTCTCCAAACGGGACTTTCCTTGTTTGTGTCTTGCGGTAGCAATATGGGACATGATTATACTCTTCTTCCCTGACAATGTTGTATGGCATGCCAGGCACACTAACTTGCCAGTCTCTTTTGAGCGGCTCATCTGGGAACTCCCGCACCCGTGTTTCGGCACTGATGGCCACTTCAGTGCTCTGTCCATGAGCTACTCGCGTCCTTTTGGAAAGATTTTCAGTCTTGGTAATAGCTGTTTTGAAGTGTTTTCTGAAAAGACCGCTTCCTCGCTATCGCGGCAGGATCTGCAGTTTCCAACTCGACGACGTCACTATCATCAGAGGACTCCGCCAAAAGCTCATCTGGAGAAAGCCCAGCTTCCTCCCAATCCCAAGAACGGCATCGCGGCGAGTCAGCCATCAGCGTTGGCTGCTAGTTAGCTGGTCTTACACAATGGTCAATGTCCGGTGAAAGTCCAGCATTACTCTTCGACATCGACAAAGACATGGACTCTTGCTTCGATGAAGAATGTTTTTTTGTAACAATACATTAAAGGGAAACTGAACGCCAAAAATAAGTATGGCTTATCCGAAGGAGAATTGGGCACTGATTCCGATGAGCTATGTCTCGAGCCGATCAGAGAAGAGGAACCGTGTCAAATTTCATAAATAACACCTCCCATATTTGGAAATTGGCCTTGATGACGTGCGTACTGCTTAGCTGTCACCATGGCCATGCTGTGCATGCTCAGCAGTGTAATTGAATGGAAGAAAACAATTACTTTGGTGTTTTGCAGCTCTGTTTCGTTCCCTGACGGTAACCAAATCTAGATGTAGGAATCTGTTGAGCAGGAGAGTGACACATGTCTTCCCGAAGGCTGTCCAGGCTGCAGTGGTGATGAAGAAGACACGATCATCACCCCGAGATCGATCGTAGCGAATTGGAAAACTCATGGTGAATTTGCTTCCACTCCAAGGCAATGTCGAGGTATGAAGGGTGCTTGTACTGCCTTCCAAAGTGAAGAGGAGATGAACATGGCTTTGCATAGCTGTTGTCCTATGCCAACTTACCTACTCTTGCTGGTACCGTAGTGGCATATTGCAAATTTCGTGGACGAACAACTCTAGTCACTAGTGGCTAGTGAGCAACACTAACAGGTGAGATTTTTCAATTCGACAAAAATTGTTTTTGTTTGAGAACTGACAGTGGCAGTCATTAGACTCAGTAGGTGTCTCTCTGCTGCTTCTTTCCCTTCATCGGTAGGGTTGTGCTTGAAGTAAAAATAAATAGAAAATGTGGAACAAAAATCTGATCATGTAATTCGAATTTGAACTTCAAAGTATGTGTACATCAAATCACAAAAATGACTGTCAAGGTGGTGCTGTGCATTGAAAAAGGCTGGGAGCTGGCAGCAATGGAAAGGGTAGAAACGAAACCAGTAATACAGAGTATTCATAAGGTAGAGGGAGATGAAAACGGGAGAGGAGTAGTGAGCACTTCAGTTTGAAGTAGTGTCAATAGACAACATTGTGTTGCATACGTTGTGAATATTGTGTGAATCTAATAATTGTCACGAAATTGATATCCAAAATTATTATCCCCTGAGTAGTATTATGGTGTTCTCCTGTGTTTACATGCAGAGCCTTGACGTTGCTGGACGAGCGACAATATAAATTACATAAACATGTAGCTCGTGATGTGGGATGACTGCCGTATCGCATTGCCAACGCAAACCCATCCTGTGTCAGTGCAGCCATCCAGCAACTTGAACTCCCCGGACCAGATGCCGCTGCAGCTGAACACCATGCCGATGGAAAGCCAGGAGTTGATAGCGAAGCATTCTGGTCTGCACGGTACAAGGCAAAGAACAATTATGAATTATAATGCATTGTAATCTTTCCCACACTTCTTTGTGAAAACAAACAAACAGTGCCATTATCACAACACTTGATCAAGCATCTTGATGGAGGTATTTTCCATTGTGCTGGCTCAGCATCTGCACCAGGAAGACCATGTACACTTACACGTATCTTGTGTGTGTGTTCGTGCGTGTGTGTTTGTGTATCTGTATGTGCACACGTGTGTGTGTGGGGGGAGGGGGGGGGGCGGCGCACATGTGTATGGGTAGGAATGTGTGTGTGTGGGGGGGGGGGGGTACACGCACATGTGTATGGATGTGCGCGCTGCATGCGTGTGTCTGTGGGATGGGGTGGGGGTGCACGCACATGTGTGTGCGCAATACAGCATGTGTGTATGTGTTCGTTGAACACAGGGTGTACTCCTGATTACATAAACTTCGTGATCATTGTGATTTCATGTGCTTTGAAGTTGAACTTCGCAATACATGTACTGATGCTTGATTAGATTTATGTTCCACATGTTCTATTTATTTTATTTTACTTCAAGCACTTGTACTATTCAAGCACAACCCTACCAATGAAGAGAAAGAAGCAGCAAAGACACCTACTGAGTCTAATGACTGCCACTGTCAGTTCTCAAACAAAAACAATTTTTGTCGAATTGAAAAATCTCACCTGTTAGTGTTGCTCACTAGCCACTAGTGACTAGAGTTGTTCGTCCACGAAATTTGCAATATGCCACTACGGTACCAGCAAGAGTAGGTAAGTTGGCATAGGACAACAGCTATGCAAAGCCATGTTCATCTCCTCTTCACTTTGGAAGGCAGTACAAGCACCCTTCATACCTCGACATTGCCTTGGAGTGGAAGCAAATTCACCATGAGTTTTCCAATTCGCTACGATCGATCTCGGGGTGATGATCGTGTCTTCTTCATCACCACTGCAGCCTGGACAGCCTTCGGGAAGACATGTGTCACTCTCCTGCTCAACAGATTCCTACATCTAGATTTGGTTACCGTCAGGGAACGAAACAGAGCTGCAAAACACCAAAGTAATTGTTTTCTTCCATTCAATTACACTGCTGAGCATGCACAGCATGGCCATGGTGACAGCTAAGCAGTACGCACGTCATCAAGGCCAATTTCCAAATATGGGAGGTGTTATTTATGAAATTTGACACGGTTCCTCTTCTCTGATCAGCTCGAGACATAGCTCATCGGAATCAGTGCCCAATTCTCCTTCGGATAAGCGATACTTATTTTTGGCGTTCAGTTTCCCTTTAATTTGTGGACTGTAACCGGGTAAGGCATGTGTGCGTGTGCGCACCTCCACCGTTCCATGCTGGCTCACATAAATTTTGTTTCGTTGGTTCGGCGTTGTTATCTGGATCTTCAAAAAGTTGCTGGCCGAAGATAGACTTTTGGGACCGGAAGTAAGTTTCTCCGAGAGTTTCCACACTGCACATGTGCTGGACCACAGCTATAGCTAGCACTACTGCGCCTGGCACTAGCACTGCGTGCCACGATCTGTTTGGTACCATGCATGATGTGTACGGACCGGTCGGTGGTCTATCGCTTGTAAGTAATTAGTTGTAGTAAGCATGGTAATACATCGCGTAATAAATGTTGCCAATCAAAGACCAACGATACGAATCTGTACATGACGAATTGACGATGTGTGTAGATCTACTACTGTAAAAGCAGAAATTTTCGGTGGTGTAATATTTTCGGTATTCGCCAAAATCGGCGGTTCGGTAGCGGGAAATTTTCGGTAAAACCCGTTCTCCAGGTAGGTGTACTAGTACTACATGTATACAGTATCGGTTGTACCGAAAATTTCGGTGCGTTTTATTTTCGGTAAAAATTGTCGGCACCGAAGTTACCGAAAATAAAACACCACCGAAAATTTCTGCTTTTACAGTATGCAGTCATGTAGAAAGTCGTATAATGCCATTTTTGGCCTCGTAATGCTTTATGATGCTCGTAGTCGTAATGCTCCGGGTGGTGTATAATGCTCGATATAATGCCGGGATTATCCGCCAACACCTAGTGTCAAGCCCAGTTCAAAGTTGATGTCCTGCTATGCTGTCCCCCTTTACAAACCCTTGTCTGGCCTAGGGGCCTGCCCCATCAGCCAGGAGCTGACACACACTGACAGGCAAACAGCTAACTTACAATACTTAGATTAAAGAATGACAGCGACGTTTCCCAGGAAGTCAGCATGTGTCACGATTTTTTACGCCGCTGCGCTGCATGAATCTGTCAACGACGTTTCCGGGATCCCAGGAAGTCAGCATGTACATGTGTCACGATTTTTTACGCCGCTGCGCTGCATGCATGCATGCAGCTAGCTCAGCCGCTTGCAGCGCGCTGGCCGCTGGCGCATGGCCGCTGGCGCTGGCCGCTGGTCGCATGGGATCAACAGTGACATAATCATTATGATTTTATGCCCTGCATGCATGGCATGCACGGCAGCTAGCAGGCCGGGTACGGGACTACGCGGGGGGTCTCTTAGGGGCACTCCGGCTTCATTTTCGACGCCGAGTTTTCGATGCCAAGACGAAGGTACCATATTTCCTCGATTAATAGACCCGGTCTTTTGTTTTTTGAAGAGGGTTGGACCCCCGGTCTCTTATTTGGGCATGGTCCATTATTTGAGCACGGTCCACTATATTTTCATCGGCACATCGCTGGAAATGGTGGGTATAAATTCTATATTATGACGAGTTAAAAACCCACCATTTCCAGCGATGTGCCGATGAAAATAATATTAATAGTGGACCGTGCTCAAATAACGAAAGAAAGCATTAGCCACTACAAAAATTGTAGTTGTACGAGTTGCTTGTGGCGCATCACCCCAAGCTAATATCACGCCACTTCTTCACCACCTCAATGTTTCCTCTTTCCAATATCGATCAGTATTTTTGTTCCTTGTATTCATTTTCCACTGTTACTGTATTAAGCCGGCTGTTTGCTTGCGGTCCGTCTTTCCCATCTGTACGTCTACCCGAACTACTCGCGGCTCTACAACTCATAACATGAGTATCAATCGCTATAGATCTATGTCTGGCTTTCTGTCCTTTTCAAGTAAATCGGCTCTTGTTTGGAATTATTTACCGGACGACCTGAAGTCCTGCACTACTATCGCAGATTTCCGCGTCAAATTGGCTATTTGGCTAAAAGACAGCTTAACTCTTAATCATTGTTGTGATTTGCTTTCAAGCAATGTGCATAATCAGTAACTTGATGTTGCTGTTTTTTTTTTGTTTTTGTTTTTTGGTTTCCCGTTCTCGGGGCCTTCTATTCGGTACTCTTTATAGTTGTACTTCTGTACTGTTGAGCTATCCGAATTCAAATACCGTATATTCTCTATTATAAGCGCCGTGCTTCTATTTTTTCAACACCCCTCTACCCCGTGCTTATATTGGAGACCGCGCTTATATTGGAGACCGTGCTTATATTTTTTCAACCAATATATCCATACAGAGCAAGAAGAAATACATGCTAGATATCATGCATGAAGCATTGATTTCCACCAAGACCGTGCTAATAATAGAGACTGTGCTTGTAATGTTTCGAAAGGTGCTCACAGTGTGCTAGTATTAGAGACTGTGCTAGTAATGGAGACCTGTGCTTATAATAGAGAATATACGGTAAACATTAAAAAAAAAAAAAAAGTTGCGCAACCTAAAATCGCGTCCTTTTTTGATCCACCACGTGCTTTCTTTGTGCGCATGCGCAAAGCGATGAACTCAAATAAGAGACCGGGTCTCTTATTCGGGCATGGTCTACTATTTTTCCGTGAGGCCTCTAGGAGGGTCTACTATTTGAGCATGGTCTATTATACGAGCATGGTCCATTAATCGTAGATTCCGCTAGGACCCGCAGGGTCCGACGTGGAATCGGGGTTACACGAGGAGTGAAGGCGAAGAATGTGACAGTGTGTTTGGCCTCAAATCGCTCTAGTTTTCCATAAATTTCCAGCGGTCTAAAGATAAAAATGCAAATGCACGCCTTGATTGCACCTAGCACCTCTTGCTTTCTTTGGCCTTTTCTGAGCGACCAAAATGATAGTGCAATCAAGAGTAGTGACAGTGAGGGGTGGGTGACACCAGCACAATGGGCGGGAACACACTGTCACATTCTTCGCCTTCACTCCTCGTGTAACCCCGATTCCACGTCGGACCCTGCGGGTCCTAGCGGAATCTACGATTACACTTCGGAGCTTCGGCTTCGAATGTGACAGTGTGACTTTTAAAGTGATCCACCACCTCAACCAAGGCAAGGGCGTAGCCAAGCATTATGCGCGAAGGAGAAGCGCGCATGTGGAGTGAAGGAACAGGCATCTCGCAGAGTGCCTGATATACAGTAAAAATGTCTCTATGTATCGAGGATACACCATATGTACAGGTGCCCTTTAAGTCGGAGACAACTTGAGAAGGGAGAAAAGGGTGACAGTCAATTAAAAACGACTAGCACAGGACACAGATAATAATACTGCGACACTATGGCGACACGACATGCATCCAGCTGCTTCAGCTCGTCTGCCAAGCCCTTGTTGGTAACGAAAGCCTGGTACATGGTGGGTCGGGCACAAGGCACACGTGCATGCAATACCGGCGTATCCGCCATATCAGTACTAAACAGTACGAGACTGATCTGGTAGCTAGCTATGGTTGCGTAGATATTCCAGGATATGTACGATGAAATGCTATCCACAGTAGTACCAGACAGATATGGTTACTTGGAACTGCCGTTGTGCGGAAAGGGCCGCGCTGATATCACAAAAGGTGCTTGAGAAATAGGAATGGCAGTATATTGTTGGCACTGCACAAATGGCAACCATTTGATGTTTATTTTTCATTGCTCACAGAGGTGCATCAGCCACCTCTGACATCGTGATCATGCTTCCAGAACCATGTATCTACAGACAGGTAAACCTGCCTTAACCGGACGCCCGTGGTGCAGCGGAAACTGGTCTATGACATTATTCCGCTTGACATAGGGATGCACGTTCGAGCCACAGCCCTTTGGTGCAGGAACATTTCCCGGTCAATACGGGATTCTGCTTGGTATAGGAGCAAGCAAACACAGGTAGAACTGTACTTGCGAAACAACAAAATGAGCATGGCAGAACGGCATTAAGTTATGGGCGTGACTCTGGGCATGAAACAAAGCACTCGCCGGTGCTTGCAAAGCCACGAGACCATCGTTCATCATCAATGGACTAATGGTTAGAGTGTGGCAAGGCCCCCGACAGGGCCTGCCCACTGGCGTGACGGAAGCCACCATATCTACAATGATCGCACAGTCCACAGACATGGGTGGATGCGAGTTAGGCACAGACATTGGAAAGGCACTCCTGCTTTTCATGAAATTGCCCTGACCACACAAGGAAGGCACGACTCAGGGCAAGAAACAAAGCACTCGCTGGTGCTTGCAAACCCACGAGACCATCGTCCATGGATAGTGGATGGATGATAGAGTGGTTAGAGTGCGGCAAGGCACGCGACAGGGCCTGCCCACTGTAGAGACCATCGTCCATCGACAGTGGACGGATGGTTAGAGTGTAGCAAGGCACGCGACAGGGCCTGCCCACTGGTTCGACCATCGTCCATCCGCAGTGGATGGATGGTTAGAGTGGCTAGAGTGTGGCAAGGCACGCGACAGGGCCTGCTCACTGTAGACTATCGTCCATGGACAGTTGACGTATGGTTAGAGAGCGGCAAGGCACACGACAGGGCCTGCCCAGTGGTGTGACCATCGTCTATCGACAGTGGATGGATGGCTAGAGTGTGGCAAGGCACGCGACAGGGCCTGCCCACTGGTGAGACCGTC